GTGTCAGGCCATGGATGAAGAATATAATGCCTTGATCAGTCAACACACATGGGATCTCGTTCCGGCACCTTCAGATCGTGTTCCTATTGGGTGTAAGTGGATTTATAAAATTAAACATAACTCTGATGGCTCTGTTTCCAGGTACAAAGCCCGTCTAGTGGCAAAGGGATATACACAGGAATATGGCTTGGATTACTCTGAGACTTTCAGCCCAGTTGTTAAACAGCAGACTATTCGGTTGGTTTTGTCCCTAGCTGTGAATCACAACTGGCCTCTTCATCAGTTAGATGTCTCCAATGCTTTTCTTCACGGGGTTATTCCTGATGAAATCTATATGAAGCAGCCTCCAGGTTATATCGATGAGCGCTACCCTCATCATGTGTGTAAACTACAGAAATCCTTGTATGGTTTGAAATAAGCGCCTAGAGCTTGGTATCAACGTCTCTCCGGCTTCCTTACTGACTATGGATTTGGGAAAAATGAACATGACACAAGCTTCTTTGTTAAGCACTCTCCCTCCGGTGTTCTGATTGTTCTACTCTATGTTGATGACATCATTGTTACTGGTAGCGCCTCCTCCCTCATCTCTTCATTTATTCATGCTATGCAACCAGAGTTTCAAATGAAGAATCTTGGCCCTCTTCACTATTTTTTGGGACTTGAGGTGACATGCACAAAGGATTCTCTAATTCTTTCTCAAGAGAAATATGCCCGTGAACTGCTTCACAAGGCCGGCGTCGACGACTGCAAACCAGCCCCTACAGCGCTGCCTGTTCGGCCGATCGATGAGGGGGAGAGTCCCCCGTTTGACAATCCTACCTTCTTCCGCAGTCTAGTTGGATCTCTTCAATACTTAACCAACACACGGCCAGATATTCAATTTGCTGTGAATTATGTTTGTCAACACATGCATGCACCCACTGAGCGGGATTTCCAGGCCTTAAAACGTATCCTTTGCTATGTCAAAGGAACCATTGATCATGGCTTAATATTCAGGCATGGACCACAAGTCATTCAGGCATACTCTGACTCAGATTGGGCTAATGATATGATTGATGGACGCTCAGTTACTGATTACTTGATATACTTGGGCTCAAATCTGATCTCTTGGAGTACGGAGAAGCAAAGCCGCGTGTCCCGGTCGTCCACCGAAGCCGAGTACCGAGCACTCTCGGCTGCCGCAGCTGAAGTAATGTGGCTCACCTATTTGTTTGACATCCTAAAGATTAAGCTTCCTCCTCCTCACCTTTTTTGTGATAATCAGTCCACCATCTGTCTGACAAAGAATCCTGTCTTTCACAAGCGAATGAAGCATGTTGGTACTGATTGCCATTTTGTACGAGAACAGGTAATTGCTGAACAAATGACAGTCTCGTATGTTCCTTCCCATGAGCAACTTGCAGACCTTCTCACAAAAGCTCTCTCTTCACCACGGTACTCTGCATTGGTCGCCAAGCTTCCGCTCATTTCACGGCGTTCAGCTTGAGGGGGGATGTTAGATAACTATGGTAATAGTTATAGTTATAGAAGGATTGTTATTATAGTTAATTACCATATTTGGAGAATCCTAATTGATGTAGGAATCTCCATCTATATAAACTACCTTGTACACAATTATTTCCTTGAGTTGAAATCATAATTCAATAGTTTTATTCCCTAAATAGTACTTCATAATGTCCATAATGTCCAGTGATGACGAACATTTACTTGAATAATGATTAATGAATAATGACTAAAAGTGCTACATTGGGAAAAAACACATGTGATGTTATTTAAGAAAAAGTCATTATGTTTTAGTATTAATACATAACTAGTTTTTTATTAATTAGGGAGAAATATCCAACAAGAAACAAAATGCTTACATATACCAAAATATAACCTTTGATATTGTTATATACTAAAATAAGACTTATAGTATGAGTAATACAAAAACATAATGCCAATAAATACTCTGAAATGCCAACATGCAATGGCAAATTACTGGTAAATTTTACATGGTATCGAAGCGTAATCATACAGGGATATTTCATATCTTCCTCCGAATCAGAGAGCCCTAGGTTGTCAGTGGGTGGTGTACAAGACTAAATATCACTCTGATGGTACCAAAGAGAGGGATAAAGCTCGGTTAGTTGTATTGGGCAATCACCTGGAGTTTGGCATTGATTTTACTAATACTTTTGCTCTCGTGACTAAGTTAGCCATAGTTCGTGTTTTAATATCTGTTGCAGTTGCTAGAGGTTGACAAGTGAATCAATTAGATGTTAATAATGCCTTGGGGATCTTCAGCACGAAGTTTATATGAACCTTTCTCCTTCCTATGACCAGTCATATCCCGACAAAGTTTGTTATTTGCGCAAGTCTCTGTACGGGCTTCATTAGTCACCTCGTCATTAACTGGTTTACCAAACTCCATATTGCATTACGACGTTATGGTATTTTTCAGGCACATGCTGATCATACTTTTTTGTCTTTCGTCAGGGCCCGAATATGATGGCTATGTTAGTATATGTTGATGACATTCTTGTTGTAGGGAATAATGCATCCCTTTTTTCCACCTTTAAGAAGCACTTGGATGCTTGTTTTAATCTCAAAGATCTTGGGCCCGTCTCTTATTTTGTAGGCATTGAATGTGCTCGTTCGTAGGCAAGTATGGTTTTGAATCAACAAAAGTATGCTCTAGATATCATTTAGGAAGCAAATTTGTCTGGTTGTAAACCAGTTGATACTCCCTTGCCCACCAATCATAACTTAGCCCGTTCCACTAGTGTCGAGATTCGGGATCCTACAAAGTATCACTGTCTTGTAAAGTCGCCTCCTGTATTTGATTATTACTTGTCCTGATATCTGTTATGCAATTCATGTCTTATCTCAGTTCATGCAAGCTCCACGACTGGATCACTGCTTTACAGGTGCTATGTTGTCTCAAAGGGCACCCTAGACAGGGTATTTTCTTACGCATGGATAGTAATCTTGCTTTAATCACTTTTTCAGACACTGACTGGACAGTTGTCCTCTTACCCGTCGGTCTGTCACAAGCTGATTAAAAGCAAACCACTGTTTCTCGTTCTTTCGCTGAGGCTGATTATTGGAGCAATATTATGTACTCTATCATGTACTCCATAATGTACTCCATAACTCAAGGAGCAATATTATATTATTATTCTAATATTTCAACACCCATGATATGCATCGCCATTTCATCCATTTAAAAAAGAATAATGTCGGTCCATGTAGATCAATGTCCATCCTTAAAAAAAATAACAATAAAAAATAACAATGATTGTGGTGTTTAATGTCTTTCATGCGTAAAAAAATCAAATAAAAGGATCATTACTAAAACTGATAAAATTCAAGGATAAAAAGTAACACACAAACATTCAAATAGTTAAAATGTACTATAAATGACAAAAAGTACTGGGTCCATAATAAATTTCATTTCACATAAGTATTCAATTAATTAAAATAAAGAAAACTCAAACAAAATTCGCTTTCATATTCTATTCTTGTAGTTTAAGGGTTTAACATTCATATTCTATTCTTTCATACTCCATCCGTCCCTGAAAACCTCTCTCCTTTCTTTTTTCATCGTCCCAAAAAACATTTATTATTTCTTTTACCCCTTGCTTTTTCATACCCTACCTATCACATCATACATTTTTACTAATAATATACCCATCAAATTTTACTTTTACCCATCACATCAAATGATATTTTTGGAAATTTAATATCAAAATACGCTCTCCTTAAATCTTTTCAAAATCAAAACATCACATGTTTAAAGGGACGGAGGGAGTATTATATTCTCCTACTTTTAAAGGTTTCACTTTTCTCCACCGATAGCTTATACTCCCTCCGTCCCAAAAAGAATTTCCTACTTTGATTAACGTGCAAAACCCCGTGCATTTTAAAATGATTTTATTTGCAAATTGGTAAGGAAATAAGACATAAAAAGATTATATTTAAAAACTACATCGGAAACTCTACAAGATAAGAGGTGACAAGAATATTTTATTTTGTGAAATGATCAATGAAAACACGCAAACAAATTAGAGTTATCGACAAGCCGTAATAGTAAATAGGAAAGACTTTTTGGGACGGAGGGAGTAAAACTTTTGATTAGTTTGAATATATGGAGTACAAATTTTATTTTTAAGTTATACCTTCATATTAATTGAATTGAAAAAAAACTTCAGTAAAACATTATAATTCATAACATGAAAATCTTTCCAAAACGGAAGGAGCGTGTGAAGAAAATTTATGTTCGATCAAATAATTCGTAAGTAGCATTTTTTTGAAATGTTGAATCAATCATATAAGAAGCATGGTCTAGTTCAATTCATGTAGTTAAATTCACCAACACAAAATAATCCTATTTTAGTATGGTAAATATATAGGTATGTTGGTGACCTACTTAATTTCCTTTTTTCGATAATAATTTTAAATATTTTTGCTTCTTCAATATCTATATAAGAGTGATATCATGTATATGATCAATGAATATACAACAATTTATCATTAACTCTCAAATAAGTCATTAGCATCATAATAAAATCTAACAAAGACAATATCATGAAGAATTACAGTGTGATTGCCATTCTTTCTTTGGCAGTACTATTTTTCACCATGCTTCCCCCATCTGCAGGTATATGTGTATATACTGAGGGCCCGTTTGGAAATACTCCCTCCGTCCCAAAAAGATTTACACGTTTTGACTAAAGTTGAAATTAAAGGAGAGATAATTTTGCGTTGACTTTCCAAAAATACCCTTGATGTGATGGGTAAAAGTAGTATTTTCAATTATTAACGTTAGCGTTTTGGATAAAACTCTCACAGTGCAGATTATCTTTGAAAACGCTGACGCTAAACGCTGCCCGTAATAAATAGTCTTTTCAAAACGCTAATGCTAACCTCTAATGTTATTTCCAAACAGGTTATGAATCTTAAATTTCAATAACTATATTTAAATAATGTTCATTTCTTTTTAGAGTTTAACATAATATAAATGATCATATACACTTTTGAGTTTCATTGTTAATAATTTTTTTTTTTTGTTGGTTTTTTTGGTTTAGGGGAAGCCAACTTTTGTCCAGGAGCTTTCACGGCAAAAGGTGTGTGTGCAAGTATTGATTGTGGGGATTTGGCATTGTTTCATTGGCCAGCAAGTTCGATGCCTCACGGTTGTGTGTGTTCCGAGGCTGGGCCAAATCAAAGTCTTTGCACTTGTCAAATTGTTTGTTGATCAAATAATCAAATTAATTATTATGTATGCGGAGTTAGATCATGTCTTTACTCTTTCATCTATGTTTCATTATATTGGATTGAATAATGTTTCTTCTTTTCAAGAATGTTTTGATGAAGTTGGCAAATGCAATTCATTAATAAAAGGGTTGTTTGTGAGAAATAGTTTTTCCTTCAAACGACATAAAATTTCTGACGTATGACATTTGACGTAATTTTTTAATATGTACTCCGTCCATCTTTTTTAAATATACACTTCCTTTTTTATTTTTTTCTTTTCCACCAAAATACTTTCATTTTTTTATTAAAAAACCACTTTTACCCATGTTATTTCTTACCCTACCTATCACATCATACGAAGTACTTTTTCTCTAATAATCTATCCATAAAATCTTACTTTTACCCATCACATCAAGGGCAAAATTACAAGTCAACTATAATTTAACACTTCATTAATTTGGTCTTTGATCAAAATGAGAAAGATTTTCTCAAACAGAGAGAGTAAGTTACTATAATCTCTCCGTCATACAAAAAAATTCTAGTTCTCATTTTTGGAAAGGGATTGGAAGCTGTAGAAATTTGACAAAGGAAAACGACGACAATTGAAACAAGTTGAGTATGAGAAATGTCACCATAAGGAATGTGAGTTGAGTTCAGTTTGATAAATTTACGCTATGTTTGGTTCATGTAATTTGAAAGATAAAGAAAAGAAACAAGTTATATATTATTCTCTTTCTTTTTTGAAGGAAAATTATTTTCTTCCTCTTATTTTTTTTAACATTTTTTTTTCTTTTCACTTTTTTTTCATTTCCTCTCTAACCAAATATGAACAATATTTTTACTATGATTTACTTTACTTTCTTTTTGAAATTCCAGGAACCAATCATAATGTTAAGAAAAAAGGATATTTACGTCCGCCCAAATTGAAATACTTTTTTAGATTAGTAAAAAGTATGTGTAGAAATATTTTATGTGACATGGTGAGCATTTGTATTTCTCTATCAATTTAGAAATAAAATAAGTTTAAACGATACGTACTCGTGGCTCCAAGAGGTAAAATATATTTAAACAATACACATGGTTCTTCTAAATTTATGTTTGGTTCAAGGAATTAAAAAGAAGGTGAATTTGAAAATTAAAAGGAAATAAATTTAAAAATCTATGTTTTGTCGGGAGAAGAAAGAAATTAATAAGAAAAATACTTTTTCCATGATTTTGTGTGGTTGTTATCACCAAATTACTAAAGATTATCTCAATTTTTTGTTTTGTACTCGTGCCAGGTGGTCTATTAATCTATGGCCATTGTTTTGTTGTGGTAATTAATCTATGAAAAATGCTAAAAACCCCATCCTTGCTATCCATCATACCCCTCCTACATAAACATGTGGTAGGGAGGCAAGAAAATTAAAATTAGAGGGTGAGTGGAGAATGGATAGAGATAAATAATTTTTAATATGTAATTTTTATATCTTATTGATATACCAATTTGTAAATAAAATGATTTTAAAAACTAGAAAATTTTATTTCGTAACCCGCAATTTGTAATCTATTTAGGGACGGATGGAGTATATAGAAGAGATTTCTAATACAACTACAAATAGAGAATGAAAACTAACTAAAATACAACATCTACCATAGGAATATGAAGCTGACTATAATCAAACGCTACCATAATTATTATTATTGTCTAACATCCAAAAAATAGTAAAATTGTGTAATTTGAATCTGGAAACGTCTAAAATGACACCAGTTACTTATACACCAGTTCGTTTGGGTACCTACGGTGCTCCGTTTGTAAAAACGATGGTTCCTACCCCCCCTAAACCCCCCACCCCAGCTCCACCCTTGCCCCCCCACCCCAGCCCCCCTCCCGCCCCCCTACCTACCCTGGTAGTACATTGTGTACTGCCAGGGTAGGGAGGGGGGCGGGAGGGGGGCTGGGGTGGGGGGGCAAGGGTGGAGCTGGGGTGGGGGGTTTAGGGGGAGGGTTAGGGGGTAGGAACCGTCGTTTTTACAAACGGAGCACCGTAGGTACCCCAAACGAACTGGTGTAAGCAAATGACACCAGTAGCACCGGTGTCAATTTAGACTTACCATTTGAATCTTTGTGTTTGTGACAAACAATTCACTTATGTACTTCATAGTATACACATTTATTAAGTAGTGATTTGCTAGTTGGAGTATTCATTTACAACTAGGGTTGTAAACGAATCGGATTGAATATTCATGAATAATATTCGTATTCGTTAAGATAAAGTGATATTCGAATTCAGTTTGAATACTCGATCGTATTTTTAAGATTCATATTCAGTTCGTTTAATATATTAAACATATTCGGTTTGTTTAAATATATTTAGTTCGTTTCAAAATATTCGATTCATTTAGATTTTAAAATTTTTTATAACCATTTATTCTATTTTTTAGCTTTTTTTGTCTATATGTGTGTGTGTGTATATATATATATATACATATACATACATACATACATACACATATATGTATGTATGTATGTATGTATGCATGTATGTATGTATGTATGTATGTAGACACACACACACACATATATGGGAGCATCTAAAATGACATCAGTTACTTATACACCAGTTGCTTACGCCAGTTCGTTTGGGGTATATACAGTTCCCCATTTTTAAAAATGAGCTCCTACCCCCCCTAACCCTCCCCCTAAACCCACCACCTCAGCCCCACCTGTGCCCCCTCCCTACCCTGGCAGTATACTGCCTGGGTAGGGATGGGGGCGGGAGGGGGGGCTAGGGTGGGCGAAGGCAGGGGTGGGCTAAGGTGGGGGGTTTAGGGGGAGGGTTAGGGGGTAGGAATCGTCATTTTCTTACAAATGGGGCACCGTAGGTACCTCAAACGAACTGGTGTACCTAATAGCACTGGTGTCATTTTGACTCACTATATATATATATATATATATATATATATATATATATATATATATATATATATATATATATATATATATACATATATATATATATATAAAATGGTAAATATAATACTCCCTTCGTTTGGAAAAAGTCTTCCCACTTTGACTATAAGGCAAACTAAGGAAGTGTAAAATTATAGTTGACTTCCAATTTTGCCCCTGATGTGATGGGTAAAAGTAAGATGTGATGGATTTATTATTAGAGAAAAAATATAATGTGATAGGTAGGGTATGAAAAAGTAAGGGTAAAAGTAGTTTTTTAATAGAAAAGGGAAGTGTTTTGTTGGAAGTGAAAAAAATGAAAGAGGAAGTGTTTTTGAGAACGGAGGGAGTATTAACTTTGTGAAAATAATTAAGTATTTAATAAGTAGTTGAAGCAAAGTATGATTTTGTTTAAATGTTTGTTTGAACAAATTAATATTTGTTGTTGTATCAAAATAATTATAACGAAATATTCATTAAAAATGTATTATACATACTTATACGTATAATCTTAAATATACGTGTATTTTAAAGTGTTTTTAAAAATCATACGTATACGTGAATATAATACGCATATTATACGTACGTAAGTATAATATGTGTATTAACTAACTACGGTAGGAGGCCTACTCAGCTCCCCTAGATTTATGGGGAACTTCACCAAGGTTCGAGGCCTAACAGAGACAGAAGCGTTGACTCTTTGTACTTCATTAGATTGAGAAACATATGAAAAGAAGATACTATATTGCAATAGAGTCAATAACATTAAAAAAAAACTAACATAGCGTGTTTGACTTTTTTCTGTTAAAGTTACAAACTTTGACCAAATTTTGTTGCAAATATAATTCTTAACAGTCAAATGTTGCATTGGAAAATGTAAAAAAAATCAATCAGACAAAGTAAGTTAGAATAGAATAAGTTATATTACTATAACAAATATGAGCCCCTCGGAGGCAGATGTATTGGTTCTATATGCGTCATTAGATTGAGAACAATATGAAGAGATATTACATTATAACAGAGCTAATAGCATTCAAAAAAAAAGTATTACTATGACAAATGATTAGCTAAAATGTGAGAAGATATTGTTTCACAATGCAAAGAGTGTATTATATTTGCTAGAGTATATTACACTGTTGTTGCGGGACAAAAAGGTCGACCGGGTCGAGCTCGGTGACTAGGGATAGTGAAATGTCTGATCCGCCCCTTCTGTTCGACCATATACCCTTCACATAGAAATGCCTTTGAGAAGTTGTCCTCCACGACTCTATCGACGTCGTGGACGAACACGTCGGTCTCCCCGTCGGGTCGGTTTCGAGCGATCAGTCCAGCCGTGTAAAGGGCGCCCATCCTCCCCGGGGCATTGTCGTGGTACCCTGTCGGCGCGTCCACCATGACGACGTCCCACTCGGTGTCGTACACTATCTCCGGCAACCCCTTCAGCACCAGCCGGCATTCCGACGATCTCGGATCGCCGACCACCGTGCACTCCTCTTTCTTCCCATTTTCCAGCAGCTCATCTGCCTCACTCAACTATTCAAGACAAGAAAAAAAAAAGAGTATCAAAGAGTAATATTTAATTTTAAGGTTTCCAAAGTTAATCTTTACCAGTAAAAATATAATAATCTAAAATACTAACCCTGATTGAACATACCAAAAAAAGCCTTTGTTTTACAATAAGAAGGTGATGCTAAATCTATTCTACGGAGTATTTATTACTCCCTCCGTCCAACAATAAAGTTCATGTTCACTATTCACAGGGTCAAATTTTATTCACTTTGTTGACCTATTTTTGTGTCTTGTTTGATAAAATAATATAGTCATGTCACCGGCCACTAGTTTTGTAGATATTTTCATGTAGTTTTTAAATATGTAATTTTAATTTTTTAATTCCATACCATTATTCATATAAAATGATTTGAAAATAATTTCAGTCAAACATCGTAACGCGCAATGAGAACTTTATTTGTGGACGGAGGGAGTAAAAAAGGACAATTCTATCTCTCACTTATACTCAATAAAATTCGACAAAAATTAAGTTGTATGATTGACAACGAATCAATCATTAGATCGTTGTAAAATTTTAGGGAAATGATTTATGTTATACAAAGATTCAATTCTATGGTTGGTTTTGGGTGAAAACAATTCCAACCAAAGATACAAAGATTCAATTCTATGGTTAGTTTATGTACTCCCTCTATTTCAAAAATCTTTCCACTTTCACTTTTTGTTAAATATATTCTTGTTATATTTAATATTAATGTATATTGGTAGCTACCATATTTGTATAGGGTGTATTAATTATGGTTTCCTATTATCATTAGGAAATCCTTGTATATATACACATATAATCTTCCATTATTATTCAATAAAAAATATTCATTCTTCATGGTATCAGAGCCCTAAATTATTCACGGCTTTCTCCTTCTCTCTCCCTTGTTTTTTCGGCCAGCCTTCCCCCTCCTCTCTATTGCCGTCTTCTTCCTTCCTCCGGCAACCATGGCCGATTCTGCATCTTCTGGGAAGGTCATCTCCAACAACTTAACCTCCTCTCCAAATAATTCACCCCATCTAGCTTTCACCACTATATCTAACATTAAACTTCATATCCCTGTTCAACTCAGTCTCTCAGAACCAAATTACAAAAAGTGGAGTCGATTATTTCGTCTCTTGATCCTCCGCTTCAACCTCAAGGGCTACATCGATGGCACGACCATCGCCTCCTCCGCAGATGATGCTGAATGGTATCAATTTGATGCCCTCATTCAGGGATGGATCCTCTCCACGATCACCGATGAGGTCTCCGATCTCGTGCTCACCAACAACCTCTCTGCACAAGCTCTATGGACGACGATCTACAATCTTTTTCACGACAACAAGCATGCCTGGGCAATGCAACTAGAGCACCGTTTTCCGTACCACTGTGAAGGGTCAACTCTCCATCAACGACTATTGTCGTCTTCTCAAGAACCACTCTGAATACCTTGACGATGTGGATGCACCGATCACCGAACATGCCCTCGTACTTCAAGTTCTACAAGGCCTCCCCCACGATATCCGAAGTCAGGTTCAATTTTTGCAATATCAAAATCCACTCCCGACGTTCTTGGAAGTTCGATCAGCCCTTCTACTCGTTGAACAGCAGCAAAACGACGCCGTTTATGGCGTCGGCGCCCCATCCACGGCCCTTCTCAGCACCGGCGGCGGCAGTGGACATGCGGGCAGCGGACACCGGCAGGAACGAGGCAGCAGCTACGGCGGTTCTGGGAGCGGCAGCGGCGGATATATATGGCGGCGGCTCCGGCGGATGTGGCAGGAATTCCGGCGGTGGCAGTGGATGCGGCTACCGCGGCAGGGGTCGAGGTTGTGGCGGCGGCAGCACCGAGCGGCAACCATCGACTACGAACCCCTGGACATTCCCCTCTCCCTCCCCTGGATTACTTAGGCCACGACCCTACCCGCCCCACCCCCTGGCCCAGGCCCACCTACATCAAACCCAATATCCACTCAACCCTTACTCACCCAATCCACCTTACCCCACACCTAGCCCAAATCACCCAAACCCAAACCCTTTTACCCATTACCCAACCCAGCCCTCCCCATACCCGAATCCCACCCCCCCAGCCCACACCCCTGCCTAC